CCCCCGCCCAGCCCCGCTGTCCCCCGGCCTGTCCCTGTCCCCGTCCCCCGGCGCTCACCGTGCCCACCTCAAGGCGCAGCGGCCGCAGTCCCGCTCCCCCGGGCGCACCGCGGGGCGCGCTGGGAAAGAGAGTCCCGACAATGGCAGCCGCCGCCGCTCTCCCGCCACCGCGGACTACACTTCCCAGCGTGCTCCGCGGCGCGCCCATCACGTGAGGGAGGGTCCCGCCGTCCGCCGGGGCGTGGGCTGAGTCCGCTACGGTGGCCGGGAGGGACAGAACTGTGGGGGGGCAGCGAGAGGCGGCGTTCGCCGTGGGGCGGGACTGGGTGGCCGAGGGGAGGGCATGTTCAGCGAGTTTCTGGGCGACACCGAGCTGTGTGGAGCGGTGGACACGCTGGAGGGATGGGATGTCCTCCAGAGGGACCTGGACAGGCTGGAGAGGTGGGGCTGTGGCAACCTCAGGAAGTTCAACCAGGCCAAGGGCAAGGTCTTGCACCTGGGTCGGGGCAATGCCCAGCTCAACCCCGGGCTGGGGGGGAACGGCTGGAGAGCAGCCCTGAGGAGAAGGACCTGGGGGTGTTGGGGGGTGAGAAGCTCCACACGCCCCTCAACGTGCGCTGGCAGCCCAGAAACCCCCCACCCCTGGGCTGCATCCCCAGCCCCATGGCCAGCGGGGCCAGGGGGGGATTCTGCCCCTCTGCTCCGCTCTGGGGAGACACCCCCCAGTGCTGCCTCCAGCTCTGGGGCCACCACCAGCAGAAGGACATGGAGCTGTTGGAGCGGGGCCAGAGGAGGCCCCGGAGATGCTGGGAGGGCTGGAGCCCCTCTGCTGGGAGTGGGGGCTGAGAGAGTTGGGGGGGTTCAGCCTGGAGAAGAGAAGGCTCCGCGGAGACCTCAGAGCCCCTTCCAGTCCCTAAAGAAGGGGGGCTCCAGGAAAGCTGGGGAGGGACTCTGGCTGAGGGAGGGGAGCCCGAGGAGGAGGGGGAAGGGTTGGACCCTGCAAGAGGGGAGATGGAGCTGAGCTGTGGGGAAGAACTTGTTTGGTGTGAGGGTGGGGAGAGCCTGGCCCAGGTTGGCCAGAGAAGCTGTGGCTGCCCCATCCCTGGAGGGGTTCAAGGGCAGGTTGGAGGGGGCTTGGAGCAACCTGGTGTGGTGGGAGGTGTTGGAACAAGATGATCTTTAAAGTCCCTTCCAACCCAATCCAGTCTGTAATTCTATGAATAGTCACAGGCAGGAGGGGTGCAGGGGCCACCAGGACCTGGCCCCATCCCCGGGGGTTGGGTTTTTCACAGCCCATTCACCAGATGGGTGCATGTATGGCCCCCAAGGGGTTGGGAAACATCCATGGTGGCCAAGGGCTAAGGAGAAGCCACTACGGACAGGGAGCTGGGGCCAGCAAGGCTTGGTCCTGCTTGGTCCTGGACCTCCCATTGCTGTGACCCCTTCATGACTGTTAAAAACCCTTCAGAGGACACACTTTGGACTCACCCACGGGCTCCGTCTCCAAACAGCATTACGGCATCCAGCTGCCAGCTCTGGCCAAGGTTTGGTTCCAGGTGTTAGTTCCAAGAGTCAGTAGGTCATGGCTGGATTCGGGAAGATCTCTGTTAATAACTTCTGCCATTAAATGCTGATTTCACTTCTGAATAAGTCACGTAAGTCATTATCAGCAGTGACAGAGCTCGTGCCCGGTGCTTGTGTGACTTTGCTCCGTCTGCACTTCAGCCCCGTGGGGTGGGGAGGGTTCAACAGACAAATCACTCTGAAATCCTTGTGCTGCTGCAGCCGGACAGAGGGGTGCTGGGAAGCTCCTGCCCGGCCACACTGACAGCCCGACTGACACACTTGCTGGATTTACACACTTGTGTTTGTTTCTGTAGCTCCTTAACTCCTTGTTTGCACTGCGTCACGCGCCTTACCATAGGTACCAGCCCATCTCCAGGCTGTGTGGTTCAGGTTCCTCCCTCTAACACACTAAAACTGACACACCAGAGGCTGTGCCACCATCCAGTGAGACCTGGCCAGGCTGGAGAGTTGGGCAGAGAGGAACCTGATGAACTTCAACCAGGGCAAGTGTAGGTGCTGCCCCTGGGGAGGAATAACCCCCTGCACCAGGACAGGTTGGGAGTGACCTGCTGGAGAGCAGCTCTGAGGAGAAAGACCTGGGGGTCCTGGTGGACAAGAGGATGCCCATGAGCCAGCAATGGGCCCTGGTGGCCAAGAAGGCCAATGGCATCCTGGGGGGCATCAGGAAGAGTGTGAGCAGCAGGTGGAGGGAGGTCATCCTGCCCCTCTGCTCTGCCCTGGGGAGGCCCCATCTGGAGCACTGGGACCAGTTCTGGGCTCCCCAGTTCCAGAAGGACAGGGAACTGCTGGAGAGGGGACAGCAGAGGCTACAGAGATGATGAGGGACCTGGAGCATCTCTCTTAGGAGGAGAGGCTGAGGGACTTGTGTCTTTTTAGTCTGGAGAAGAGAAGGCTGAGGGGGGATCTGATCAACACCTGTAAATACTTCAAGGGTGGGTGTCAGGAGGATGGGTCCAGTCTTTTTTCAGGGGTGCCCAGGGACAGGACAAGAGGGAATGGGCACAAACTGGAACATGGGAAGTTCCACCTAAACATGAAGAAGAACTTCTTTGCTGTGAGGGTGGCAGAGCCCTGGCAGAGGCTGCCCAGGGAGGTGGTGGAGTCTCCTTCTCTGGAGACATTCAAACCCACCTGGACACGTTCCTGTGGGACCTGCTCTGGGTGACCCTGCTCTGGCAGGTGGTTGGGGGAGATGATCTCCAGAGGTCCCTTCCAACCCCTAGTCTGCAAATTTCCCTAAAATACCTTTTTTGGGCTTGATTTCTAGGCAGGCTGCCCAGCTCTGCTGGGGACTGCTCCCCAGAGCGGGCACAGGCAGTATTTTCCAGCTGGGCAAATATTTTTGGAGAGGGCAGGATGAGGGCCACCTGCCCTCCATTGGTCCAGAAGCATCACAGAAAGGCAGGGAATATTTTAGCTATAAACCAGTAGAGGTCACTCTGCCCCAGTAAATCCAGTGCTACTGGAGATACTGGGCCACCAGTAAGAGAAAGGGAGAGCTTTTTGGGGGGAGGCGGGATGGGCAGCGGGGGCGAGGACATGGGGCACCCCAGTACCTACAGCTCCTCGCTGTGTCCCCCGTGGGGGGTCCCGTCCTGCAGCCTCTTGCTATTGGTTTTGGGATTTTGGGGACCTCTTGAACCCGTCCCCCACAGGCTGCGGGTGTTAATGCTCCTCTCGGCCATTCCCCGCATCTCCCCTCTGCCTGAAAATGCCATTTTTTCACAAGCATGTCTTATTTAAAGAGTAGTTCTTTGCAAGGAATTTTTTTAACAGATTTCCCATGCTTTAATTTTAATATTTTAATGGTCTGAAGCTGCAGCAGGGGAGATTCAGATTAGATATTAGGAAGAATTACTTTACTGAAAGAGTGGTCAGGCACTGGAACAGCCTGCCCAGGGAGGTGGTGGAGTCACCATCCCTGGAGGTATTTAAGAAACATGTGGTCATAGCTCTTCAGGACATGTGCTAGTGCGCAATATTATAGGTTTGTGGTGGGGTGTAGTATGTGGGGTTGTGGGTGTGGGGTTTAGTTGGTGGGTGGTGGTTTTGGGTTTGTTGTTTTTGTGATGGTTGTGTGGGGGTTTTTTTTGTGGGTGGTTTTTTTTTGGTTTTTGTTTTTGTTTTTTTGTGGTTGGACTCGATGATCTCGGAGGTCCCTTCCAACCACTAAGATTCTGTGATTCTATTTGAAAAAAAAATCAAATCATGAAGAAACAAGATCTTTGTGGAAAAAGACGTCTTTTGGAAAAAGACATCTTTTAAAAAAATGAAACGCCAATAAAAGTGCCGGTGTGGGGCAGCTTCGTGGGGCTGTGACACCCAGCTCCAGCTGGTCCCTGTGTCCCCTCCCACTCTCCTGTCCCTGCTCCCACCGTGTCCCAGCTGGATGATGCCCCTTCCCCACGTCTCCACGAGCCGTGCCCCGTTCCTGGCTCTTCCTGGCTCCCAAAACAGCCCGGTTTTACCCTTCAATATATATTAACTCTGTGGGTGGGAAGCGTGGCTCTGGATTTGCAGGGGGAGCAAGGAGCGTGCACCCAGGGGAGATTTTTTGGGGGGGAAGCTGAGTGAAATGAGGGTGGGATCCACACACAGTGACTGCATCCTGCTGGAGAGGAGTCTTTGCATCCCAGCCCTTGCATCCTTCTTGTATCCAGAGCGCCCGTCTCCCTTCCTTCCCTCCTGGATACTGTTTGAAAACAAATCCACACACCCCCTGTCCCCAAATGTGTCCCCAGTTCTGCTGGTGTCCTTGGCCAGGGGGTGTTTGAACAGAGGTTTCCCAGATGAAGCCCCTTCCCAGATCCTGGCATCCCTCCCGGTGTGTGCCTGCCTTTAAGTGACCCAACAATCCCCTTAAAATCTCCAAAATCCAGCCTTGTGTCCAAATCCTGCCCGGCATCGGGGCTTCTGCTGCGGCAGGTCCTGAGCCCCTCAGGAGATGACAGGTTTTTCCGTGACTCCGAGGGGTTCCCTTCCAGTCTCCCCCTTCGCTAAAATTTGGAATCACAGTCACCGTTGCCAACATTATTTGTTTTTTTTTTTTTTTTACCTTGTAAAACAGACTTTATTTTCCTTCTGGTAAATTTTGTGCAATATACATCTATGTACCTATAGAATACACCTCAATAAAAAGTTTTTTGTCCGTACATTATATTACTTTTTTATTTAATGTCATGAAAAATTCAGACAACGCTTTTTGTCCTTAAATAAACATTTCTCCCTCCCCTGCCCTCCCTTTCCTAGCTGACTGGTCCGAAAGAGGAAATTTTATTTAGTTATTTTCTTTTCTTTAAAAAAATAGAAATTACAATCTTACAAGACAGAACATTCAATGAGAACAGAAGCATGTTCCTAACTCTAAAAAGTAAAACATTTCCATAAAACCTGTCGGTATCTACAGGTAGGTGTGTGTGTGTGTGGAGGGTGGTAAATGGAAAAAAAATGTTTTCCATTTCTTCCTTTCATTCATATAGATAAAAAATAACATAAAACCGACTGAAACGTTATATATTTTTCTCTTTTTGCACCAACATTCACAAGAATATATATTATATATATATATATATTTTATCCATTTTTATACACAGTGTGAGGGTTCTGGAGGTGGAAATGCACACTCAGCTAAACTGCCGGAGCGAACAAACAAACAAACACAAAATTCATCTTCATCTGGAAAAAGAGCAACCCCCCCCCCGGGGCCGAGGTCGCTCCCGCTCGAGGGAACCGTGGCCAAGCTCGGTTTGAAAATAAAGTGGCCAAACATCTCGTGGCTGGAGGGATGGAAACATCTCCCAGAGACCGAGGGGCCGAGCATCAAAGTGAGTCGGGGGGGTCCTGGGGGCTCCTGTGCATCAGCTCCTCTGGCCACACGCAGCTCCGGCGCGGGGGAGAGTGGAAATCTTCCTTTTTCAGGCATTTCTACCCGTTTTTTTTCACTCGTTCTTTGTCTACGAGCTCGATGCCCAGCTCTGCCCAGCCACCATCCCTTGGTGGCACCGAG